ACGTGTGCTCTTCCGATCTCCCCAAAACCCCAAAACCCCATGGCATAAAATCTGCAGCTAAATAAATGACAGCAAATTCTTAATGGAATTAACAATATATTAATACCATAAAACTTATATAAGCTTTGTTTATTCGAATATGAGCGAGTTGATAAATCTCTGTTAAATAATTTTGTTCCCATTTTCTTACAATATGGATATTTGCGGCAACTATTCATTTTAAAAGACGATTAAGTCTGTCAATCTCTTCTGCCACCCTCTGATCCTCGTTTTCCAACTGGTCGAAACCTTTTGAACCCATCAAGTCTGGGCTTATAGATCTCATCAGAAGTTTCTTGCTAGTAGCAAACTATTTATCCTCTACAGTTAGCTTTTCCTAAATTCTTCTTTGTTCTTTCTCTATCATTTATCTCTATAGTTCATCTCTGAGTGAAGTCTTATTCATTAAATCGTTATTTCTTTTATTAAACGCAATCTAATGCTCATTCATCATTATAGCCGCATTCTAGGATTCTAGATCACTCGTAGTTTATCTCATGAATGTTCTGTTCATTGTGGAGTTGACACTTTAATTCTCGAATATTTTATTAGTTGTTACCATCTCCTGGATCATCTACCTTTTCCTTTAGGCCTTAGCTCTTTCTCGTTCCTACTCCTATCTCTTAACCTCAGCTTCTTATTTCTTTATGATATCATCTATCTCTTTGGTCTTTAGATACTCATTCTATGAATGGGTCTTGATCTAAGGTTTTTGATAGTACTTTTAAAGTAAATCATCCCTTTGCTGAATCTTATTCAAATGATCTCTTAAATTCTAATCTCTTTAATCCATCTGCTTTTTCACCTCCTATAAACTCACAATCTCCTCAGTCTTGTCAAGTTTCTCAAAGTTCTTTTTGCTATTCTTTTTCTCCTTGATATCAGTCAAGAGCTCTTATCTCATCTACATTTTCTTAAACTGTATTCTTTACTGCTCTCTAAGTTTATTCTACTCAAACATCATCTCTGCATTCTCTTATGTCTACTACTCAGTTAGATTATTTTACAGCAACTCCAAGTTATTTTTACTGGTTCTAAGATGATGCTTCTGAAGATTATCCTTTTAAACTTACTACAAGTTTTGGAGTCTCTGTAGTCTATACATTTCCTCAATAGCATTATTTGTGTCCATGTACTTTTTTAACTCTTTCTACTCCTATCTCTTTTGATAACTTATAGTAGTCTCCATTTGGTTTTACTTAGACTGCTATTGCAATTTATTGAAATGAGCTAGTTATTAAAGATGATCGCGTTTTTACTGTTTCTCAAAATTCTCATCTATTTTAGCCTTATAGGAGTCTTGAAGTGTGATAATGTCCCACATTGTGTAGTTCTTCTTACGCTTAGTCAGATAAAAGCTACTCTAAGCTGTGGAATTCATCGGATTACTACCTCCTGGAGTTTTATTGTTTGGTGAAATATCATAAAGATTATCATACATCTATGAGTTGTTGAAGAATTAAATCTTGTTAAGAGGATTCTGTGCAGATGACTTAAATGTTGCATGTGTCTTCATGAACTGGTTGTGCAGATTATTCTCAAAAGTAATCGTATTATTTAGTTTGTCTATGGTGCTATTCTTATTCTGGACGTTTTGATATAATTTAGCCTTATTCAGGAAGGGACTGTAGTCGTTTCCATTTCCACTCATAAGCGAATAATCATTTTATGGGGAGAGTGCCAGATTTTAGAGCTTTGCATCATGATTATTATGATCTCTTGTATGAGATTTGGCAAATGTTCGAGAGTAATGTTCATTATTTGATCCTGCAGATGCTCTAAGATTTATACTATGAGATTGATTAGTCTTGGAAGCTGCTCTTTATTATGCCTCAAGGGGAGAAAGTTGCAGAGTGTACCGTTTATTTTTAAGATATTAAGAGGAGTTGATATTTCTATTGTCTCCCTTACTGATACTGTTATTTTGATTCCTTTCAATTGAGCCCTAGTTATACATATCCTCATTTTTTCTTGGTGTTAAAACAGTTGTCATCATCCCATTTCTATCTGGCTTTTAAATTTACTCTCCTTTATTTGGAGACATATTCTTGAAATTTATAGAGTTAGAATAGGCTGAAGGCAATTTTTCGGAGGAACCTTAGGAGGTGGACGAAAGCTTAACTATAAATTTCCTCTCAATATCATCAACCTACAACAATCAGATTAAATTATATTAAATCTTACTGTGAATGCTTGGTTTGAATTCATAAATGACAATATCACACTACTGAGGAGCTTTTCATATTTCTAGCCATGCTTAGACAGGAGACTCACCCGACACTGGTTGAGGTCCGAGTTGGTGGGGCGTATCATGGCTATAATACTTAAAAAAACTATACCTTACTTTTTTGCATTTTATTTTTATTAAAATTTTATTTTCCTTTAATTGACCCTATTAAACATATACGGGGTTTTGGGGTTTTGGGGTTTTGGGG